CCCAAAAAGATATATGTCGAAAACTGGGTTTATAAGTATACTAATAAATATAAAACTTGTCATTTCATTCTATTTACAACTGTTTTTGAAAATGCTCTTTTGAGTGAACTGATTCTTCAGGTTTAATAACAATTTATATCTCGATGTCTGATCGCTGCTAATGAACTGTAAATAAATGAGATTAAGTCGTGATCAAGGTGCGCCAAAACCTGAAAGCAAAACGTGCACAATAGTAAAAAGAATTCTCATTTCTTAAAAAAAAAATATATATATATAAAATATATGTATATATTCGCCTTATTTAGATCCACAGACCTCGTCTTAACAGCTTTGCTGTTGCGGAATTACTTCCGCTGCATTTTGTGCGTTTTTAAAGGAACAAAAACAGATTGTTCTCTTTACAATATGTGTTTTCTACCTACCTGGCTGAAAACACATGTTGAAAAACGGTGAGTGGATTCACATTTCACTTCCTGTTTCAAAAACAAATACATGCACGCATTCGGTATACCCCTGGCTATTTTTGAACGAGACAGCTCAATCGAACACCCACACACACACACACACACACAGAGACACATTCCGAATGAATTAGTGGGTTCAGATGCCAAAACACAAATGTGAAATCTTAAGCCACTGTCAAGGCGAAACTACCTGAAACAGCTGGCTATCCTCACTAAACGGTCAATGGTTTTAGTTTTTTGACTCGAACAGAGACCTTGTGACGCATACACGCATTTAGTTGTTGTTGTGCCGTGTCTACTAGAAACTGTAACCAATTTCAACTAACACTTAAGAAGAAAAAGAAAAATAATGATCATAACGTTATTTGGTTAAATGGCACACCCAATTTTCAGTTGTCAACCGACTGCGCCCAAAAAAAATATTGTTGATAACTTTCATGGGGCAGTCACCAGCTGCTGCTGCTGCAGCCAGATGATATTTTGTTGTTTGTGTAATATGAGACTGTTGTTGTTGGCCTGTGGAGCGGGGCACAGAGGGGGCCCCCATATAAATGCGGGTGAATGTGACACATGGGAAAAGTCTATCGGTCAAAAAGCGGCGATCGTTCGACAGCCGTCTGTTGACAATAACCCAAGCTGACGCCTAAGCCGAGCATCGATTGATAAAATAAATATATAAATTCGAACTCATCGAAAATGCGCATTTGATTTTTCTTACCCGCCATCGAACAAAGCGTAGTTTTGTCAGTAACTTTCGACATACGATACTTTTGGCCAGATTTATAATGGTATCTGGTGATATATGGTCGATTCCGGTGCACGCACAATCAATTTGTTAATAGCCTGAAACTTCCTGGTATCATAGCTGTCTGCGTTTTGGGAAATGTACTCCATTCATCTATAAGTAATTGGAGAGTTCAAGCTGTGTTTTAGCCACACCTCAACTAAGGTGTAGATGAAAGCAGTTCGCTGTAGGCCAAAAAATGATTCATTTTATGAACAGTCTATTTTAGACAAAAATACGCCCCGCTTAAAAACGATTTTAATAGCAATATTTCCAAGTCTTCTTCTAAATGCTGCATATTCAAATGGCACACATAAAAGCTCTCAAATGATTCGAATTAAAAATCATTTGAGAAATACACATCAGGCATTTAATTAAGCCCTTAGTTAAATTTATACCATCAGTAGATCAAGCAAATTAATATTATTCATAGTAATCCAAATAAAAATCGAGAATACAAAATACGTGTGACGAATATTATGTTAGCTGATTTGTTCGTCAGGTATAAACCAATTATTGTTCTTATTTCTTTTTATTTAATTGTTTTTTTTTTTTTTAATTTTAAATAAATCAATGTTTGCTTTTTCGATTGATTTCCGTTGTTCGAAGTGTGCTTGCGCGTAAATTTTAAACAGCTAGTAGCTTAGGAATTTATATCAACTCAACTTAATTAAATGCGCAACACAGAAATCCACTTGGATGTATTTGTTCATATCTACAGCCAACTATATCCAAATAAAACTCGGGAGTAAACAAATGAAACGTAGTACTACGCTGAAAGTTACCTGAAAGCACTGAGACAGATAAGATAATTGAACTGGGAAGGTCTGCAAACATTGACCGAATCCGAGGAGAAGCAGCTGACATGCATTTTAGTTAGTATAAGAGTAACAGATGTGACCAGTGCCTAGTGGAGAGACAATCGCATATGATGAATTGTTTTGACTCATGATTTCCGACTCGAAACTGACTGATTTGCATACATGTACAAGTATGGCTAGTGCCAGTACCGGTTTTATATTTTCTAAACTTGAACACACACCAACACCAGCAACACCAGCAACAACAGCAGCAACATCAACTTCATTGCAATAGCAAATGGAATTAATTATGGTATCGTGTCGACGTGTACGGCGCCTGTGATCACGGCGCAGCTCCTCCATTGAAACACAGCCAAGCTCCAAGCATTGGCGACAATGTGACGCAGGCGCAGACCCAGTTTGAGCCGAAGCCACAGCCGAAGCTGCTCGCCGAATAGAAGTTCAAAGCAAGCTTCGTGACTCGACCAAATGCTGGCACTTTGCCCGACAGCACTTGCAGAAAATGCTGACCTAAAATTTGGAAGATCGTTTCAAGATTCAAAGCGACATGTTTGTGGGAAAACTTTTAATATTTATGAATTTGATATTTATGAATTAAATTTCCTAAATATTGATTCTTAAAATATGTTATATAAGGAACCATATCTTACTAAGAAGCAGCAATTCATGATTTGAATAATTAATTGTTTTGACTGTTTTTATTACTGGATTTACCCAGTCCTTGCAATAAATTTTGATTTATTTTTCCTATTTTTATGTGTTTTTTTTTTTTTGAGTGTAAGACCTAAAAACCTAAACACGTTTAATGCCGGTAAAAAGCGCACTTTTCCCTCTATTGCAATGGGGGAAACCACAGAGCGCTTGGCCAGCAGCACTGCATAGCCAGTTTGGCCCAAAATGTATCTGTAACTGCGACTTGAACTGCACACTTAAATCTTTGTTGTGTGTGTGTGTGTGAGTGTGTGTGAGCTGTCAGCCGGCGGCTAAAAAGTCACAGCGAGTGGGGCGTGTTGCCTGCATTTGAGTTGACACCCACGCAAATTGTGGCAGACAACTGCGAGCCTGGCCAAGACCAGAAAGCGATTTCATGGATAGACGATAAGTATCTCAACATCTACAACTGTGAGAGGTGTGCGCATACATACATGCATGAGTGTGTTTGTACGTCTAATTAAACGTCTTACATGCCAGTGGATATGCATACGTATGTACCTATCTATCCATATACACATTATAGACCACTCGATATGGACATACATTATAGATAAATGCCATTTTTTCATTTTTATTTTTCATTTTGTTTTTTGCGATTGCCGCCGCGAGTAATTTAACTGCGCATTTGCCAACAATGCTAGATAGTTTTGTGTTGAACATAAGAATATTACCCGACTTTGATTTATATATATACATATATATTTACTTATTTATGTGTCTGGCTTTATACCAAAATAACAGCAATGCATGTCGAGACTATTCCATTGGGAATTGGGCTCGTATTTCGAGAGAGAGAGAGAGAGCGAGTGAGAGCTCATAAAACACGATCTCAGCTTAAGTCGAACATAAGTATTCATGTATTGGGATACATATGTCACACTGATTAATATTTATGCATAGTTATTCATATTTTTATGGCTATGGTTTGCGTGCGAGGCGCCTTCGGCCATACGAAACTCTATTGAAATCAAAGGCAGGTCGTCTTTCCATACTTGTTAATTTGAACACGTCCCGAAATACAATTGTTTGTACATATTTCAAGCTTTTTCCCTTTGGCAACACTTCCAAATGGATATCTTATCAGTCTGTACTGATTAGGTCATCTATGACGTGAACTATTGGCGTGTAAACAGGAAGTAAAATTAAAGTAGAATTGTAACTGGCTATTTACCAAACAATACTCTTGATCTAAAAAGCAGCCACTCACGAATCGAGGTGATGCTGAGTAAAACACGTTTATTTATTTTTTTTTATTAAATGTGCACTTAATGTTAATGTCTCAATGTCGATGCACTGTTTAAGACCTTAAGCTTGGATTTTGAATTAACAATTTAGATTCACATAAAACCACAAAATCTGATTTGCATTCGCAATCGATAAATTACTCATTCAGAGCGGAAAGTACCTGACTCGCAATTGTGAAAAGAAAGTGATTGTTTGCGAAATCTTTCAAACCTTTTCTTTTTTTGGTTTTTGATATTTTTTCGTGTGACAAATTCTGACTAACATATTGAAAATATCCAAAGATTCATGCGTTGTTTATCAACAACAGCCATCGCCGATAAGCAAACAGTGCCAAATAAAAGCAGTTAAAATCCCCTTCGGCTGGTGAATGGTGCCCAATGAGATTAGCATTTGCAATTGAATCTTATGATGTCAACTCGTTCGCATCGAGAGACGTTAATTTAGTGTATCAATACCAAAAAATAAACATTTACCAAGTGCCTCATTAAGTGCGATTTCAGACTGTATTTTATGGCTACGCTGATGGGGATCGCGCTGTACGTCAGCACTTTTATCCGGTTGTTGAAATTCAAATAGCATTCTCAAAATCGTCTTCCCTGGGTGCGAAATGGATCCGGTATACAATACCACGAATCGTGGCTCTCTCATATCGTGCTCGTATTCGTTATTGTTGATTAAATAAACGTTTTTACCTCTTATCTACATTGCTGCGAATGTACAGATAAGATAAGCTACCACAAAGTGGTATTCTTTGTACCGCTATGAATGGTTGCACAAGCATGTAAGTAAGGGAACCTACGGGAAGTTGCAAGGTTTCCAGTGGAAACACCTCTGTAATTGATGCATTAAATAAAATTCACTTGAAAATAACCATTCAAAACTGTTAAAGTGATTTTCATGAATATTTGGACTATAGTCTACATTAAATATATAAATAAATTTATTGAAAATTATTTTCCCTTTCATTTGCAGTTTGAGAACTTAAAAAATGGGTCGCCCACCAAGACTGGTGCTGCTGCTGGTCATCTCACTGTGTGTGTTCCATGTGAGCCACTCAATCGATTCCCAGCCAGCTAAGGACGCCAAAGTAGCAATCCCCGATGAGCCGCTGAGCAATGAATTGTTTTCCGATGAGGAGATCGATACCAAAAACGCTGGCATTAAAATTTCAACGCCCAAGGTAAAGGAGATGCCCGTGGATACGACCACAAAGAGCGCCAAGAAGTCGGTTAGCATAACCACAAAGCAACCGGTTAGCGAGGAGACGCTCCAGGATCTGCTGGAAGCAGCCAAGCATAGTGTTGCCCTCGCCGAGGATCCGCGCTTCAATAAAATGCTGCCAGATCGCTTAAAGTTGGAGAATGCTACAAGCAGCAAGAACAGCACCGAGGAGAACTACGAGTACGATGAGGACGACTATGACCTATACAGCTACGGCAGCGCCGAGTTCGATGACGATGACGATGTCAAGGACACAACAAGTGCGCGTCCCAAAAAGAACAAGCCATCCAAGACAACCACACCCAAGCTGCGACCCATTGATGAAAGTAGCTCCAGCAAGCCAAAGGTAAGTGCTGCACTGCTGCTTCCATGCTATTAGAATCCCCAATCACAAAACAAAACACTTGCAGGCCAAGAGCGGCAAGCAAATCGATGGCGACGACAAACAGAACAACATTGATAGCGACTCAAACTACGAGGACTACGATGATGACGATGACGACGATGATGCCGACGACGAGTAAGTCATAAACATATTAATAACATTTTTATTTTTATTGCGCATAAGCATTTCTGATGAAGACGAAGGTCAGAGAGTTAACGAACTCGTAAAGTATACCTTCTTCATAACAATCATGAGTCTAAACTCCTTTGTTGAAAAAGTAAACCTCAAAAAAAGGACAAACAGTTTTGCTCATAGATCCAAATTTCCTAGTTATTTTTATGTGAAAATGTAAAAACTGTGTCATTCATAACCTAGTCATCAATCAGGAAATGACACTCTTTAATTCCATTTGTTATACATATATATATATATATATATATATAGATATATTGTATGAAAAATTACCTTGCACTTTGAAACATTAAAAATAAATTGAATCAAAAATTGATAAATTATAACTATGACAATTATAACAATTCCAGTGCTGATGATGATGACGAGTCGGACAAGCTGACGGATGAGGAGCAGGTGGTGTTCAGCGAGAATGTGCCTTGCCCCAGATACTGCTCCTGCTCACGCAACATTAACAGCTACCTGGTAGCAACATGCAGCAGGTGTGTCGAAAAGTCCAATTTTAGAAACAGATGGCATATTAAACTTGATTTTGTTTCAGACTGGATCCGGGTACACAGAAGTTTGGCTCGGATATTACCGATTTGGTGGTCACCAATGTGGGTCCGAAATATCCCATTCTGCTGGGTCCCAAGTTCTTCCAGCAGCTGGGCCTGAAGTTTGTTGCCTCCATCAAGATTGCTAATTGCACCATTGAATACATGCACCCAGAGGCTTTCCACGGTCTCGATGAGCTTTATTCAGTCAACATGACGGACGTTGGCCTGGCCATCATTAACCCAGATACTTTTGTCCTGAACAAGAAACTGCGCATGCTCACCATCTCTGGAAACGATCTGAGCGTTATGTCCACTCTCCATTACTTGCTGAAGGTTAGATTAAGAATCTCTGGCAAACAAATTTCTTTACTCACAATACCATTTTCCCGACACAGTCTTCCAGCATTGAGGAACTCGACTTTTCGCGCAATAACCTAATGGAGCTGAATCCCAGCGCATTTACCAAACTCTCCAATATCGTTTACATAAATCTGTCGCAGAATAATTTGCAAAAGATACCCGAGAAAGTTTTCGCAACAGTTGATACGATCGAGGAACTGGATCTGTCCTACAATTCGCTTAAGGAGCTGCCTGCAACCGTTTTCAGTGGTACGGCTCTATCGATCCTCCATCTGAAGTATAACACCTTTACCGGCGATTTGCACTTTGGCATCAAGGAGCTGCAGCAACTGGATCTGAGCTTCAATTCGATTACCCATGTGCATCACACCATGTTTGACAAAATGCCCGGCTTGACAAATCTGAATCTGAAGGGCAATGGCATCACCAAAATTCAGCCAGACTCATTCCTAACGCTGAAGAGCCTGCGTCACATTGACCTGTCCATGAACGAGCTGGACCAGATCTCCGGTATGATATTCTTCAAGAACTCCGAACTGGACGTTATCCGGTTGAACGATAATCCCCGCCTGAGCCAGTTGCCCACCGATGGTTTCATCAGCTACAATGGCTACTTCACTGTTTACTATTTGGACCTGTCCAACTGTGCCATTGGTGCTCTGGGACACAGGACCTTCTCGACTATGCCGCATTTGACAACGCTCAAGCTGGCGTGGAACAACATTAACAACTTGCCCCGTGCCACGTTCGCAAGTCTGACCAAGCTCATCGATTTGGATTTGAGTAACAATCTGATTACCAAGCTGGATGAGCTTTGCTTTATGGAGAACAACGAATTGACCAAACTAAATCTGGCCGGCAATCCCATCACCCACCTGTCAGTGCGCCTCTTCATGCCATTCCACCAGCTGCGATCTCTGGACGTAAATGACTGTGAACTGACATCCCTGATGACTGACAAACAGTTTGGCAGCGACTATAAGTTCTTTGAGACGCTGCGTTTCTTCAATGCGTCTGGCAATCTGATTGAAAATATCACAGTCGATGATATTAAAAGCTTTAAGAATCTGCGCTCATTGGACATCACACACAATCCACTGAAGTGCAATGAGGACTTCCAAAAGTTCATCATCTATGTGTCGCTGCATACTAAGACACTGGCCAAGAAGATGCCTCTGCTGAGCTATCTGGAGTTGGATGCGACAACCTTCATTGATGTTGAAACACAGGCTGGATGGAGTGAACTGGCCCAGGACGTGTGCAAGCACAATGGCACCTGGGGCGAGGAGGAGGACAGTATCGAGAAGCGCATTACAGAGAGTGAGAAGAAAGTGGACGAAGATGAGAAGAAGCTGCTCAGCGTTCTCGACAAGAGTGTGCTGGATAAGACCAAGTTAAGCAGCATGCAGAAGATCATGAAGGGATCGGACAGTGCTGAGGGAGTCAAGAGTAAAATCTCCGACAGCGAGGAGGAATTCATGAACAATGGTGGCGAAGAAAAAGATGAAAATGAGAACGAATACGACGAGGACCTAAATGATAGCGAGTATGATGATGATGATGATAGCGATGACGATGACGATGATGATGACGACGACAACGAAAAGCCGATCGACAAGAAGAAGAAGAAGAAGAACGACATTGAATCCGATTTCAAGAAGTACGTGGAAACCGAACTAAAACCCAAGATCAAGAATCACGGCCTCAAAGTGGAGGAAGTTGATATGACCAAGGAGACCGAAGACAAATTCCTGCTAGGTACGTGATAAATGCATATGCTAAATATTATGGATAATCTTTTTAATCGTTTCCTTCAATCCTTTTACAGGCAAACTTGGCATTGACAGCGACGAATTGAACAGTGACGAGGAGGAGATCATTATTGAGCGTGGTCACGTTTACTATGGCAACTCCAACTTTATTATACCAGGCCTTATTGTTTTGAGTTGCTTGGTGGTGATTCTCCTGGGCTTGGCCAAGATGGTGACACTGATTCTGCGCAAGCGTGGCGAGCGCTATCGCATGGCCATAATGGCGTCGAAGAACTCCTTTGTGTATCAGAAACTCACCGAGGACATTGTCAAGCCGCAGGTTAGCAAGGAAGCAAAACAACCAAAGGTGCACCGATATGCGCCCATCAATCAGGTCTAAGTCCGTACCGCAGCTCCCGGAACTTTATCGCGGGAGTCGAGTGTGTGTGTTGCGCTGTTTTCTTAATTTATAAGTTAATTCATAGTTAAACACGTGGAAATTGCAAAAAACAACATGAAATATAAACAATACATAAAACAAAAACAAATACAAAACCCGGTTCGGCTGGACTTCAAAACCCAACTCGAGTCAAGTTTAACCGAGCGCGTGAAAAAGTATTAGCAAAAAAAAAAAACAAACTGAAAGAAAATACTGAAAAACCCTCCCTACTCCTTCCACATTAATTATCTACCTATCGATATAGCAAATAGTTGTTGTTGTTCTTAATTCGGTTGCAGCCACCGATGGCAAAAGGCAGAAGTTGAGATCGTGTGCGAACAATTAGCAACCGTTTCGGAAGCAACGGATTTGAAACTGATTGCGTTCGCCGCATTATTTTTGTGTTTCTTCATAAAGCTTCTTTTTTTTTGTATATTTTTTTTTTGGAACAGTTTTGAAGATTTAGTGCCATTTTGCCGAAATTCATAATGTAATAAAATCACCGAAAGTTAGAGAGAGGGATATATATTTACATACTATATATACAAGTATTTTGTAAACTGGCAATCAGTCATATTGAAACGGTTTGGCGAAGTAGATCTGAACCTGTCAGATTCCTTAAAGATAACATTTGATTTCAAATCTGGGCAAGATAATACGTTAAGTCTTTTTTATTCTATATTCCTTTTAATTAAATCAAGCAAATGTTGGACTTTTAAACATATTCTGAAATCAATAAATTATTTTAACCAAATTGAACATAATCTTTATATATTATAGAAATACTACATACATACATATATACGTATTTTAATATGCAACTTCACAATAAAATATACTTATTTATGAATCGGAACTGGGGTATGCTTATCGATAAATTCACATTCAGCTGATACAAAAATTGATTTATTTATTAATATAAGCAGATATTTGTATGGTGAGATGTCAATTTCGTATGTTGAGTATCCAACGAGTTCTTCTGCCTTTCAAGTTTATCTTTTGGAATAATAACTGGTTGAGTTATTGTTATTGAACCATCTGCCAAGGCCCGTAATCTCGTGCTGATACCGCAGTTCTTCGGAAGTCTGTATCCACAATATGTCGAATTCCTTATCAAACGATTTTCCTTCGAATTTACACTCACAGCTATAGTCATTGTGTCCGACTTTCCATATACAGAGTGAATAGAGTATTTTGTTTGGCTTAACTTGTGTTTTCGCCGGAATAAAATGCTTGCGTCACTTCAAATGTCATATTCCAACTGAGTGCTGGGCTTAAGTGTTAGTAGTCAAGCAATTCACTTCCCTTCAAAATTTGCTGCCTCGACATATTCAATACATATTCAAGTATGATCTGTACAGTGCGAGCCGAAAAATTACGGTGGATACAAAATATGTATATATAAATATAAATATACATATTCATAAACATGTATATTTATATGGCATCTACGCTGCTTCAATAAAAATATATCATTAAGTTTGCAAGAAAACAACCAATTTTAAGCTGCGATTTACTTAAAGTTTCTTTGAGTGAATTGTTAGTTAAGTATTGTTTATAGCTTCAGCACTTGATGAACTGTTTGATATATAATTAAGTCCTTTCTTATGTTATATATGCATTCCAGATGATTTAAATTATATCCGTGCGCCCTGCGAGTCAAATTTGTCAAAAGTGTTTGAGTTTTCAGATGACACCATATTCAATCGTAGCCTTTTCATAATTTCCAGTGCGCTCCTAAAAGTATGCATCAGTCTTTGCTAATTGCATTTTAGCCAATACAACAACCAAAACGGTGTGTCATTGGTAAGTGCAAATGCTCAAAAGCATCCTGCAAAAATAACAAGGTAACAGGAAAAAAACATTTTTTTTTGGTATTTTGTGATTTATTTAATTAGTGTTGATCATAAAAGTTTGCAATCGAACTCAGTAAAACGAAAGCTTCCGTCAACGCAGCCAACTTCATTGATAATATCCGTTAGTTCGATTTACCCCGAGTTCGAGAATAAAAATTAAGAGGTAAGCTTAACTCGTATTTATTAATAGACCTGCATGGAGTTCTCAAACAGTTGGGCGAGATCATCTCGCGTTTGTCCACGTGGTGCCATTTTTGTAATGCGCTCCTGGGGTAGGGTTCCTTCGACGAGAGCCGGTATATCGCTGCCTGTGAAGCCAAGCTCACCGAGGCCATTTTCAATGCCCGCCCGCTGCATATATCCACGCACAGTGTCTCCTAAAAGGCGTCCAGCATCAACTGCTTTCACCCCTGCCGTGTCAGCTCCCAGTATTGCAGCTGCCTCCAAGTGCCGCTCAGGGCAAGCGGGTGCAGTGAACTCAAAAACAGCCGGCGCACTGACCACCACAGAGAGGCCGTGTGGAATGAGCGCATGATCAGCGGAGTAACCAGGAGGCCTGTAGTTACGCACGTGCCCCGAAATCGGGTACGAGAGACCGTGACAGAGATGCACGCCAGCGTTGCCAAATCCCACACCTGCCATAGTCGAGGCGAGATGCATGCGGGAGCGCGCCTCCAAATTATCCGGCTGATAGATGGCGTCGATGAAGTTCGATCGTATTATGTCCAGAGCAAAGCGCGCCCACACATCCGATATCGGATTTCTGCCCTGATATGTTGGCCGCAGGCTGGGATCAGCTGGTGCTGGACCACGTTCGCGATAGTCGACAGCTGTAAAGCTCTCCAGCGCATGACAAAATACGTCGAATCCAGCGAACGCCATCACCCGTTCCGGCTGCGTCAGCGTGTGCAGTGGATCTACAATAGCTATGAGTTTTAGATAATTAATATAAAATTATAAAACGCTGGAAAAGGAGCGAAAGACGCTCGTAAATCTCTCACCCAATGTTGGCTTTAGATATTTGCTTGAGATGCCAGTTTTTGCATGCAAACGTTTGTAGTCGAAGATAGCAACTCCTGTGGTCTCGGAGCCAGTGCCGGATGTGGTGGGAACTGCAATAAGTGGCTTCAGCTTAACGGAGATCTACAAGAAGTCGGAACACGATAAGGATTTACCGGTAAACATTGCATGTAGATCAATGACTTACCTCTTTGGCCCGTCCAATCGGTGCATTGACATAGTCGAGCAACTCGGCCTCCCGATCGCTACAGAATAGATTCGCCACTTTGGCTGTATCTATTGAGGAACCGCCGCCAATGGCCACAAATGCATCAAACTGATGACTACGTGCAAATTGGGCTGCCTGCCAGAAACTTTCATCTGTGGGCTCCACACGCGTCTCGTCGTACACCTGGTAGTTGATTCCGTGCCGTGCCAGCGAGTCCAGGGCAACTCGAACCGAGGGCACCTTGGCCACATTCTTATCCGTTACGAGGCAAACATTCTTGGCACCCCAGTTGCGCAGATCAGCTCCGAGCTCAGCACTTACTCCGGGTCCAAAGCGCACAGTCGATGCCGACATCTAGCAAGGAAAAACAATGATAAATTTATGTGGACTTTGGCCTTTTCTTAGACTTACCTCAAACGCATATTCTTTTGGACCTGTTTGTGTTGTGGCTGCCGATGCCGATCCATAGTTGTGGGAATGTGCTGGACACTTGCATCTATAAATGTTAATTGGCGTTAATTGGCGGCTCATTTATTTACCAACATTTCACCTACGAGCTGGCCACAATTGTGTTCATCAAATTCAGTACATTTTTGCGAGACATTTCCAGACCCAACTGCAAATCAGCTGTGACCTTCGTATATTCACATAAGGTAGCTGGTGGAAACGGAGCTGCCCACTTCGATTTTTGAATGTTTTCGATAAGCCGAGATCTTGTGTATATCGCTACTTGTGACCGTTATATTTTTGAATTTCGTTCGCAGATCCCAACTGTTATTTAAAAATGTGCGATTACGAGCATGAATACTCTTTCACTTTTGATGAGAGCACAATCGAAAATGAGCTCAATTTTCGATCGTGGGACTGTGGATTTGAGAGTCTGTGGCAGAAGATTAGTGAGGAGCTGCGGCGAGAGCAGGAAAATAACGAGCTTGGTCAAATGTTTCAGGAGAAGCTAATTCTGCAGTGCCACACTCAAATTGACTCGTAAAACTCACATAAACTTTACTTATACATATTGTTAATTTTTGTTATTATTGTTTAGTTTTTAGCATTTTCGACAAATGCATTTTGAATTGTTTTTAACTACAGCCATCGCATTCTTTGCTATATAAGATAATGGATATACAGTCCGATCGCAATTTTGTTCATATTTTGTAAGCTTATCGTTACAATGCTGTACGAGCACTAAGTTCAATGTTCTCGTTAGTCAAATATTGTACAGTCTATATAATTGTAAGCTCGATTGTTTCTTATCAACATGTTTCGGTTCATAGCAAAGTGCTATCGATTATCAATGTATAATTAAATTTATTTCATAATTTATGTAATTCTCGCACCGAAAGTGTTTTTTCCGTATTCTTTCCATCCATTATGAGAAGAATATACACATTATCAGAAAATAAAAATACTGTAAATATGAGGTATAATTATCAAGAATTCTGCTGTTTCACATTTGCATATATAGTATTTAGTACAGATGTCACTGCTAAAGATCCCACGCCGCAAGGTAATTAGCATTCGTTATAAACAAACAATTGTTCAATGCTGTTGAAGTCAATTACCTAAATGTCTGTCCGCCCATATTTATCGCTAGATTTACAACTCAATTTACAACTCAACTGTTTAATCTAACAACATAAACTACAGTAAACGTAGTTGATAGCTTTTCCCAGCGCCATTTACATAAGCATACATGAACTTCGGGCCATAAAAAGGAACGCTTGGTTAGATCAGTCAGCAGTTTGCAATCGATTGACGAAAGTAAAGCTTCTAAATTGTACTAACGATTCCAGTATGAAGTGGTTCAATTTATTCTTGGTACTTGGCCTCTTGGCACTTATTGGCAGCATGGGCACTTTGACAGCCGCCGAACCTTTGCCCGCACCAGAGCCCAAGGGACGTCCACACACAACTCGTCGTCCAAGGAACGAGAATGACGGGGATCGCCGCTAGCAAACCCAGATCCAGTCGAATCCCATCAGATGCAACGAACAGAAACGGATTCGGGATGCACACACAAAAACGATTTTGGTGACGGTGAAATGTTTTGGCTTGGAAAAAATGCAATTTGTTGAAGTTTTACTTGTTTAACTTTTAAATAAACCCATCAGTTTGAGCATCTAGAATATTGAAAATGATTTAGTGCACATATTTTACCGCACTATACATAAAACCTCTGTCAAAGCAAATAAATATTTGTTAGCGTTCCTATCAAAAACATATAGTAAAATGCGATTTTTATCATTGGTTTATTCGTTAGTTAGTTTTAATTGTTTGTAATTCTAGAGTTAAATTGGTCTGCTTAAAAATAAACATCTCATATTATTGATACAATATATATGCTTCAGGAATTATAATTGTAGGAAGGATAATGCTGGATATCAGTTATTTATACTTTGGAGTAGAGATTAACGATTTGACTATTGCGGATTGCGGATTGCGCTTGATGCGATTTGCTAGTCTCAAATTGATTTGTTTGGAAATTACACAGTGTACATTAGGTTATCTTTCTCATACATACATATAAACTTATGAATATAGCCATTTACAATTTGCACAATACTGCAGTTTAGGGAATTCATTAAATCCATGGGGATCAGGGGGATTTGCTTAGCTACGTGTTAGTTGGTTAGACTGGTTTGGGCGCTTTCGAAATAATTTCAATTTATCTAAATTGCAATTTTGGTTATTTGTTATGCACACATACATACACACAGATTTCATTTTTAGCTCGCTTAAATTTATTGCCACTGTCACACAACAATTTTAGTTGTGTGCATTTGCATTTGGAGTAGCATTTGTAAAATTAAATCAATTTAAAAAATTAAAATATATAAATTAATTGCGTTTTTATTAGGCTAATAAAGTTAATTTGTTTTTAGTTTGGAGCACGCAAATTCTCGACAGTATTCACTGATCCTCTGTGGTTAATTAATTGAATTAATTAAGTGGCTTCCTCTTAATTGCATGAGGAGAACTCTGCCTATCCATGTACATATATTAAATTAATTTTAAACTGTTTACTTTCTGTAGTTGCAATCTGATTTAATCAAATATTCATAGTGGTTGTGTATTTGTATCTTGTTGACATATGTATCTGTTGAATGCACCATGTATTTTCAGGTGGGTCTTGTGTTTGAATATATGTGTGTGTGTGTGTGTGTAATTAAATCCAAATTCATATTGAATATACAATTGCTGAACGACACTTAACTTATCACTTTTGGGAATGTTAGTTCAGATTCCGCTGTTCACTGTGGCGAATCGGATGCTGCGGATATGCCACCCAGACTACAGGCACCCATGCTGCCACTGGTTGCCACACCGATGTCACTGATGCTCTTCACGCGCCGACTGTTCTGCTCGTAGAGCAGATGACTATCTAAGCCATGTGGATCCAGTATATTGGCAAGGGGCGGGGCGCTGACACGGTGACCAGCTGGGCCGTAATTGGAGTTGGGGGGCGGTGGCGGTGCGCTCGTTGGTGGCGGTAGAAAATGATGAGAAGGCGGCGGATGATGCGACTGCATTTGCTGTGGACCTATGGTAGCGTATATTCCTCCGCCGCCCTCGCTGCTGCTGTACGATGGCGTTGGGGAGGTGGAGTTACCGAAGGAGCTGCGATCGCCGGCCCGATGGGATTTTGTGTTGAAGCGAAAGGCTTTTGAGAGAGAGCTCTGCAAATGAACAGTGAATTAGCGCATTGGAAATCCCTTTAATTTTGTTTTTTTCATAGCTTCCCCTTACCTGAGATCCTTTCCATGCCGAAATCTGTAAGATACAAAAAAAATAGGAAGGAAAGAAAAGCAAATTTGCAAATTAGTTTCGCATTCGCTTTAAATTGATAACCAGCAGCAACCACAACCCCGTCAATCCCGCCCATCCATTCCCCTCCCCCCCAGTGGAGGGGGTAATGCATATTAAATTGAATTATTCATCACTTTGACTGTACACGATTTATCTTGGATTTGTCGTGAAACTTCTGGTCTCGTTGTTTAATTAATATTTTAATTAGTAGTCAAATGTATAAAACAAAACGGACGGCAAATAAAAGTTCGCAATTTAAACAGTTTACATTAAATTTAATTATTTTTTGTTTTGCATAAATATATATATATATGTGTTGTTTTTTTTTTTGCATTTTACAGAATGCTCATTAATTGTTACTTACTTGTAATAACTACGCATTGTGAACGAGTATATGAGTTAAGTATATGCTTAATATGATCTTGTTTTCTTGCATTTCATAATATATGCTTACATTTTAATCGTTATGGCGTGCTTAACTCTATTATAAATGTGCGCTTCTCAACACTAAATAATAATACGGCTTATTATAACACTTAAGCACGCAATAGCGTCAAGGGATCGATACGCAATTAAATCTATATAATTGGACTAGCTAATTTGAATAATTCCTTCAGAATTCGTCTTTTAAATTAAAACACTTTTTCTTCATCATATTATCTAAGCAAACAGAGAGCTGTACTTAATTTTTCTAAGCCACCAACCAATATCTCCGATATATCTTATATGTGACCATATCTAATTTCTAGAATATCTATTTATGATTTATGCTGCGTGTGCTTTTCCGTGGCCCAATCGATCTTCAAAAAGCATGCCAAAGTATGTAAAAGGTAGTAAAAAAAAATTAAATACTTATCCTTACTTAAATATATTTTTCATTTGATCTATTCTGAAGTTTTGAGTGAATAGTTGAAGTCAATTATTATCAAGTAGTCTAGGTGTAGAAAGATCGTTGTACTGTGTGCTCAAAGTACATTTGAGAAGTGGGAAATGTCTGTCAAATGTATTTCTTGTTGTTTTTTTTGTAATAAATAAGGAGTAGAAATGAAACGAATGGGATCCTTGACATTCTACACAAGTACTGAAAGCGATACGTTAAAGTTAGTTTAAAGCATAGACACACAGAGAAATAGAGAGACAACAAAAGCTTCACGTCAAATCAGGCTAAGATAAATACAGAGGCAGAAATTTGCTTACAGATTTTCAGTTTCTTATACATAAATATAGTTTTTATGTTTTGAATTTTGTTTTTTGTTTTTGGTTTTTTTGTTTTTCGCGTAGGCAACCAATTCGAGTTTTATGTTTTATGTGTGCAAGCGCTAGTTACATTTAGATTTATGTATGTATATGTTATGTATACTATTTATGTATGCATTTAAGGATAGGTTGGACTTACCCGCAGGCTGCCACTCGATCGCCGATCTGTTGTGGCATAGTGCTGCAGTCCGCCGGGTCCAGTTAGTGGCACTATGCCGCAACCGGAACGTATGCCTTGACCCAAAGTTGCTCTACACAACAAACATTGCAATACAACCGGATTGTTTTTTTTTGTCGTTTTTGTCGTTTGAGGTGTGTGTGTGTTGTGTGTGTATTTGTGAGTGTGTGGGGATGTTTTAATGTTTTTGCATGTTTACAATTTTGTTGCATTGTTGGCACAAATAAGTAGTAGTAGGTAGACACAGAACGGGGCAGGCAGAGACAAAGACAGAGAAGGCAGAGGCAGAGGCAGGCGGCAAGGCAGACGTAACAGGCAAGCATTCACACACACACACACACACATACACATGTTGATGTTGATGTTGTTGTAGGCATATATTGATGTATTGATGTAGTTGTAGTTGTAGTTTTTTGTTGTTGTTGTTGTGTTGCATTATTGTAAACAATCAAGACAAGGATAGCAACAACAAGCCGTTGATACAATTGAATTGAGGATTATACCAAAAATCGAAAGAAATATGTGAAAAATATATAGAATAGAAAGTAGAAAAGAAACGGGACAAAGACAAAAGATGGTTAATAATATTGAGAAATTAGTGTGTGTATATATACGAGATAGTTATGTAAGTAAGTACATATTTGCACAATTGACTACTTGTAGCGTAAACAACAAAACTTATCACTAAGATATAAGCGCATTTAAATAGATGTGTGTATGTATCTGTATGCAAACGTAGATGAGATATGGGGCCCCGAAATAAATACATATTTAATTGCTACATGTTCGTAAGTGAAATAAAATGTGTTTTAATAAGTTGTATGCAAGAAGCATTGCTTCAATCACATCCAAGTTAGAGACAGAGAAACGGCATGAATATTCTTGATACAAAGTAGATGTCAACGAGTAGGCTAAAAACCAAAAAAAAAAACAAGAAAACTACAGAACATTGAGACATATTCAAGTACATAAGTAGTGCTAATTTTGTACTCGAAAATTCTTTCGAGTTTTACTTACAATTGACATAGCATTGACTCAATAAAGACTGGTATTAAATATGGGATTTGGAGTGAGGAACTAAAGTACTAACAATAGATATTATATATCTCAATTGCGGCATCTGCAAGCGCACAAAAGTATGCAATATCGAGCGGCAGATGACAAGCTAATGTGTATGTAAAAATGTATTGGTGAATGCACAATGTACATACTAATGTACGCATTTGTGTATGTATGTATGTATGTATGTATGTATGTATGTATGTATGTATGTATGTATGTATGTATGTATGTATGTATGTATGTATGTATGTATGTATGTACGCATTTGTGTATGTATGTATGTATGTATGTATGTATGTATGTATGTATGTATGTATGTATGTATGTATGTATGTATGTATGTATGTATGTATGTATGTATGTATGTATGTATGTATGTATGTATATATGTATGTATGTATGTATGTATGTATGGGTTTCCTTATGGCTTACGCTCTGGGAGCCATACGTTTATGTATGTATGTATGTATGTATATATGTTGGTACAATGTTCAGTATCTGTATCTGTATCTGTATCACAGTGGACGGCTGTCCACGTTAGTTACGAAGGCATTTGAGCCCGGTTATTTATGCTTTATTACACATCAATTATTCGATAAATGCGGTATTTCGTATCTGTTTGGCTATAAATTAATAGATATGCATATAAAACTATAAATGAATCGCATTTTCTACTTAAAAAGAGTGTCTTGTCTCTACCCAAAAAGATGCTGGCCCACTACACCTAAACACTTCTATGTGTCTTCATATATATTATATAGATCTGCGTAATCTTCATCTTATTCTCGGAACACCGATTCAAACCATTATATATATGTATACATATATATGTATAAGTATGCTGTATTGTGTAACGTTTTTAGCGGCTTTTGGTGTTTGGCTTAAATGCAAAAAGTTCCGTTGTGTTGTAATACGTTTGTGTATAGAATAAATGCGGTCTTTAAAGCCCGATTTGCAATAATTATGTATGGTTTTCTTTTTTTTAAATATTATTTGGACATATCGATAATGCAAAGCTCTTCGGAATTTCGATATGTTGTATTTATTTACCAGTATGTTTTTCATACGCGTTTAATTTGATTTCATTTAATTGGATCGTCAAGGGGACTCGGGGTGGGTTTTGTTAGTTTTTTTTTTTTTTTTGAGTAGACGATTCTACGAGTATTTCGATGCTTAAGCATATTTATCTATATTCGTTTTTTGTTTTTGTTGTTTTTGTTTTTGGAGTTTGCTTTGCTATATACTAAGTACGAGTAGTAAGTATTAATTATGTTTATATTTGATTAGCGCTGTGCTCCAATTATTGTTCTCTTCCTAGAATTACCAATCAGCTTAGCTAAAATACAATTGAATATTGAAAATCGAGTTGAATCCCATCGAGTTTTGATTACAAATTACAGATTTGCCACTTATTGAGGACAATTTGTGATTTTGATCTTGATATTTGTGATTTGTGATTTGTGATTTAATGGCCCTGATTTAATTTGGCCAATTGCCGGGAGCTTTCCATTTGAAATTCTTCCATTTGACAGTAAATAATGTATCTGCATAGAAAATATATATGTTGATATCGAGGTGTTTGGAAGAGAAAAAAGAGAGAAAAATACGGCACAAGCCAATTAGTGCGTTTCGACGGCATTTCAGACATGCTCTAAAACACGCACACGCACACAAACACACACACACACACACACACATCGCACATCGCACATGTTTCATATGTATGTATGTGTTTTACCTACACATTTATATGTATTTGGTGAATATTATGCTAACACTATAGTGTGTGTGGATATATATGTATATCTATATGTATGAATACATACATGTACTTATTATGTACGAGAAGACAGAGAATAGATAGATGATGGATACAGTTACATAGATGTATGCATGTGGAAACTGATGACGACGCATGAATAAGAATACGAATGCGAATACGAATACGAATACGAATGCGAATGCGAATACGAATGCGAATACAACTAATTGATTAGACGTGAATGATGACTACAACAACAATCGGCACATTCACAATTCGCATCTCTGGATTATCTGCATTGATTGTTAGAGCGCAGACTGAGATTAAGATGATGACATGTAGGTATGAAGATAGTAGATAGTATATAGTAGATAGTAGATAGTATATGCAAAGCAGAGTGAACTCAAGAGAAGCGTTTTACACAAATATTTATATGTTTGTTTGTTTTTTTTTTTTGATGAAGTGAACAATGGAAGAAGCAGAAACAGATCTTAAATGCTAACACCAAAATGTACTTTTTTTTTGTAACTAACTAACTTCTTATAGCATAACATTTATTGCCAATCGCCCGATTACAATTTGTATATTTTTATACAAAATTAACGATCAATTTTGTAATATATTTTTAAGGATTAGAAACATATTCAGTTTACTGCTAACTTGATTCCAGTCAATAACCATTTCCAAACATTAACTCCCGCTTTCAAAAATATTGATAATGAGCCTCAACTATAATTTCTGCACTATAACAAATAATTAGCTATTTTTATTTTGCCATTAGCATGAACAACTATTGATAATGGAATAGCGCTGATAATTATGAATTTGCATGTGAGTTTGATGATGATTATGTGGATGAGGAACGTGCAGAAATGAAGATACAAACAAAATGCTTGAAATAATGTACGATTATCTAACTGACAATGGGATACAACAGAAGAAAAAAAAACAATAAATTCCAATCAAATGTGAAGGCAACAAAGGAAAATGAAATTCTAATCGAATGGGTACAATAATCAAAATGCTGTTTTACGCTACATATATATAAATATATATTATATATATATAAATATATATTCATATACTTAGAGAGTGGCTCCGGTGTCGAAACCAGGGCAATACAATAGGGACACACACATGAGGGGGCAAGGGATCACACACACTCACCTTGCGGGCAGGATGAGGGCATCGAATTCGGTGTTGAGATGTCGTCGTATTATATTCTTCGCAGGCGGAATACCCAATGCGGTTGCCATGGTATCGCCCGAAAAGGATGGCTCCAACACCACTAGGCCGCCATGGACGCCACTGTCTGCAAATAGTGACAGAAGTGGGTAAAATAGGACACAAGTGTTTAGTGTGCGCTTTCTGCTTGAAACTCTACACTCGAGTGCGTCAATCAACAGATTATCCAATATGCAATTGGAATTGATATGATATCCACTTGACATGTGACAAGTCCATTATTACATATATTAGCACTCACCCTTCAGATTCTCCGCATACTCGCCCAGGTCAATGGAGCGCACCCAGCGCACAAATCGTTGATTTGTCCAAACAATCGGATCCGTATCAACCGTCTCCGACTGAACCCGTCGCATCGCCAGCGTCTGACGGTCATATTTCACAATACGCAATACGTGAATGCCTACGCAAGAAGGGAATTCGTTAACTCATCGCATTTTCAAATAAACTTGATGTGTCTCAGCATACATTTGCTCAATTTTATGATATAATATAATATAATAATCATATAATAATTTAGTTAAGGTATTTTTCAACGATCACAAAAATATCACGCTTAAATTTTGAAATTCGCTCTGGAATCTATTAAAAAATGTTCTAAATATATTACAAATTTCTACTTCTTAGAAATTTATATTTTATAAATAGAACATTTTATTTAAAAATGTAAATAAATTTAATCTTTTGATAATTTGTTGTAATTTAATACTGAAACACAGCTTTTCGTCTGAGAAATATAGATTCTCAATAATAAAACATGGCTTCCTTATAACTATTTAAAAATTAATAAATTATAATAAGAAATACAAATTAAAGTTGAATTAAATGTCAAACATACCGTGCACTATGCTGGCCTGATGGAATTTGCGAGTCACACCGAGAAATTTCTCCAGCTCCTTCTTGGAGAGCGTGTCCAGCATGCGGGCATCGACCAGAGACTGCAGGAAGGGCTCCGCATACTGCGGCAGCCCGATGTCGGGCAGCCACTCACTGGCCACCCAGGTGTGTCCCAGTTGTGTGATAAGTGGATAGCGCACCATTTCCGGACGACGCTGCTCCTCGATGGCCAGTCGCAACTTTTTGCGATGCATGGGATGCGCCAGGCCCAAGCCAGCCTCCAGCTCAATGTCGTTCAGCTCGAGCAGCACCTTGCCACTTTTCACATTCTCCGCACAGCGTGCACTATACTGTGGCATGCCCAGTGCCACCTCCAGCCAGGCGAGCACCTGTGTTGCCCGCCAGCGCTCTATTGGCAGCTGGGAGGCCTCGCGCAACAGTCGCAACTTTTCGGCATATCCCTCCTCGGACAGCGGATTCCACGAGTAGTCACTGTACTCGTTCACACCATCCGCAGACATTGCCTTGCTCTTGTTGCGCGAACGTGCAAAGACCCGCGAGATGCTGCCCCAGGTGCCGCCGCGTCCATTTCGTGCGCCCAGCGGCCCACCGCTTTTATTGGCAAACTTTCGGGTTATGGCGCCAGCGCCGCCGGGTCCATCAGCATCCGGCGAGAGCTGCTCCACAGATCTGTTAATAAATATAAACGATGTTTTTAATACATACTTATATACTTTCAAATTGAATTTAAGTGAAACATTTTGTACAAGAATTAAGTGCAGTATTCATATGGATACAAAGAGTAATCCTTTGAAATCGCTTCAATATTAATTGTTTTATTTTATCTAGTAATAAACAATATTATTATCATTTAACAAGACCTCGATCTAACATTTGCAACGTTTGTAAAAATTTAAATATTTCGAATCAGCTAACCAAAGCAAAAAGCATTTATATAAATGTGTTATTTTGATACGATTTGAGGAACGTATTTCGATTAAGTTTTAATAAAGATGAAACAGTTATATAATTAACACAAACAGGCTGAGGATTATCTCAAATCTGAGGAACACTTTTCTTATTTGCTGTTATTTGCGTGAAAAGACGACTTGAGTTCAAAACTTCCGAGTTTTTAGGAGACAGTCAAACACACAAAATTACAGACTTTTTGAAGTGCAACTACGACTAAACTAAGATCAGATAGAAGTTAATGCAAATTTTACCGAATTGGGTTGTGAAGTGCAACTATAAATTAAAAAATATATAAAATATATATTTTTATTGATCGAATTTTTAATCACTGTGCTAAGCGAGGCATAGGCATCCTACATGGGACCGGGTCATCTAAGTTAAGTAAATAATTATATTGCAAATGCCATTGCAAAGATGTACAATTTACCTGGAATATGCGCCGGAATTCAGGGGCGAGAGTGTGGGACTGCGTTCCTTGGGCGTGCCAACTGGGTAAAAGAATAAGAGTATAAAATATATAGATATCGAACGAAGTGTCTACACTCACATTGGTACATGTTTTGGCTGGAGACTAGAGAGATGCTGTCGGGATCGACGGTGATGCAGGGTCCATTGTCGCAGGCGCCATCACTGAAGTTCAGTTCGCCACCGGTGCTCTCGCGATCGCTGCTGTTGCGCAGTCCAGAGTCATTGGAGCAGGAGTTGCGATCGCCGACGGTGGCGCCAGAGCCACCGCTCAAGCTGCCACTGAAGGCCGACAACGAATTGGAGTTGCCACGGCCACTGTCCTCGGCGTTGCGGATGCCACTCAGTGCATTCGCCACAGCCGAACCGCTGGCCAGCTGGCTGAGGAGTGTGGAGGCAGCCGATGGCGGTGTCAGCGGCGCAAATGAGTGTAGGCTCTCCTGATCGGAGAGGCAGCCCGTCAGTTGCCGTCGCGCCTCCAGCAGCTGTTCCTGGAGGCGCTGCAGCTGCAGATCCCGGGCCGAAAGCTGCTGGGCCAGAGCCAAGGATCGTTCCGCTTCATCGCGTGCCTGCTTCAGCAGCTGAAAGCGCTCTCGATCCCGATCCCCAGAGATCTTTGCATTGGTTGACTCCGTTTCACGCACCCGTTCCTGATAGTTGCGTATGAAGTCGCGCAGCTCCTGCTCCCGTTCCTGCAGCGAGGCGCACAGCTGATTCACCTGACCCAGTAGATCGGCTCGGTCTGTGCGAAGTTTCTTGCGCTCCAGTCTCATGGTCAGCAACTGATTCTTGACGCTGCGCAGCTCCGACTCCAGTCTTTCGACCCGTTCCTTGCCATCATTTGGCTGAGTCGCTTCCAACTCCGCACCGGGCTCAACGCCGCCCACAGCGCCATCTGTCGAGTGTTCGAGCAGGCGACGCAGACGCACCAGCTCCGCATTGAGGCGCTCGTTCTCCTCGCGCAACTTCATGGCCACATCTGCAAGAGATCGTTGAATTAAATAAATGGAGCAGTCTTTTAACTAGCCAGCTAATTCACCAGTGCCGCGCTAAGCTCAAGCTGTGGAAAAGCGGAAACGTTGTCGTTACTAGCCCCAAAAGATACCGCTACCCATGTAAATATATATCAGGCGTTCTACCAGCACACTCCCCACCCCATGTCATACTCCCTGCGGACAGTTGCTCACTTTCCATGCAAATCTCTATCACAAACTACAACTAGACCAACCAAACTACGAACGAGCAAAACTTAAAAAAGTGCAATGCTTATTTGATTTTTTATTTTCAATTTTTTGTTTGTGTTGAAAATAAAAATAAAAATAAAAATGAATTAGGCCATTTCAAGCAGAAATCTGTAGAAGTTGCAATGGAAGAAGGCTGTGGAGTGGATTGGTGCATGCGGAAGATTAAATGTTAATGCGAGTGCTGATAGGACAATTTCAGTGCTCCAATTAAAAATGCCGAGATGGATAGAGAAAGACAGAGAGCGAAAGCGAGAAAGCGAGAGAGAGGGAGTTATATACAGAGGGAGCGGAAATGGCAGATGAAAAGTAAGGAGAAAAGCAAGATTGAAAATGGCAAATGGCTTTAGTACGATTACGATTACGAGCAGGAGCAGGAGCAGGAGCAGGAAGTGGGGTGCGGATTGCGGGTTGCGGGTTGCGGGATTGAACGAGTCTCAATCGACTTACCTGGACGAAATGTGTACTTTGACTCGTCATTGCGATTGCCATCAGGAATAGTGTTCGTCGTCGTGCTGATTGCCGTTGTTGCCTCGAGCATCAAAAGTGCCGCGGATGCAACGGATGCCGGGGAGTGTGGCAGCACCATGTTGCCGGACATTGGGCATGGAATGGACATGGGCAAGGGCACGGGCACGGGCACGGGCATGGATTTAATTTTCATTGTCTTCGATATGGGAGATAATGAGGCTGTGCCGACCGTTGCCCGATCCGGTTCCATTAAATTCCCAATCGAACAAACATCATTGGCATTTCTCTTGTCGACTGTTGTTGTTTTGTGATTGTTATTGTTGTTGTTGTTGTTGTTGTTGTTGTTGTGGATGTGTTGTGTATTTGTTTTGCGAATTTTCACAATTTCCCAGACGAGGCAACCGAGTACGAAGGGGATTCATTCGAAATCGTCGATGTACGTCGATGTTCGGGGACGAGTGCCCAAGTTTGACGGGGTACAAGGGTGGTTAACAAAATAAAATAATAAAACAGTAATAACAACAGCAACAGCAACAATTTAAGCTCATCATAATAATGGATATGTTAATGATAATGTTATGGTTTATAGATCGATATATGAATATAGCCGCTGTATGTGTGAGTGTTTCGAGTGTGTATTTGAATTTGAATCATGAATCTTGATTAATCGCACAAACTCAACTCAAACGGGAAAAAGAAACGTGCAGGACTTTATTTCGATTTGAACAGCTAAATGCATGAATAACAAAAAAACAAATGCCATCGGAAAAGGTATTTACATACACTCATAAAGGATATGGATCAAATACAACACATTAATAAACAACAATTTGAACATTTAACTAAAATACGTGAAGGAAACATTTACCAAAAATATTTCGATTCAATTTCGTTTATTTATCTCTGCAAATTATTCAAATATAATTCGAACCCAGGCATGTGTATAAATATATTCGCTATAATAACGATTATCCACAACATCTATTTTATGGAACGCCCATTTTGAAGCCCATCCCATTTTGCACATATTTTATACTAATTGTGTTATTTAAACCATATTGCATGACTAGCAATAAATCAGATTTAAAGAAATTAATGTGAATTAATTCAAATTGGAATATAGCCTACTTCCTACATGTGGATGCAGCCATGTATAATTTATTAGTTAAGCTGTGACTGTATTTAATACTGATTTTATTTTGGTAGATATAAAAAAGATGTATAAATTAATGAGTCAATTTTCGATTAATCATAACTTTAACTTGATCTTATTATTATTAAAATGTATGCTAGAGACAGTCTTTTAAGCAACTGCGACTTGTACGGCTTATGTGCAGACAGATGTCTTTAAGAAGTTATGAAACAGTTTCCCCAATCTGGCTGCATGTCAGCATCGCATTAGTATGCATCTCATCTCTGACTGCATCTAGTTGTGCATCCTGCTCCAGCAATTTCCATTGCTCTTTGGATGCGGTCTTTTTGTTCTGATGCTGATGATAGAAGGCCTGAAACGCGTTTCTGTACATCAATCAATCAGAAAGTCTGCTGGAGTGGACCGTTCGCTTTTGGCAGCGCCATTAAAACCGAATGGTACCGAATGGGCAACAATTAATGGATCTATGTTCCCACCAATTTGGACTGTTCTTAAAGCCATCCACACTTGGAAAAAATCTAAAGTGCATAGCACAGTTTATATTTGTGTACATTTTCCATTTTATAATGATATATTTTTACTTTTTGGAATCATGTTTCAAATGTAATAATTATTTGTGAAAAGTAGAAATATATAAGATATTTTAAGATTATGATTTAAGATTTACTTTTACTTTGTTTTTATTGAACTTCATTCGTAGATTTAGAAATAACTTTTCAAAAATGAATAATTATTATTGATTTTCAGTTTGCACCTGTTTTTCTGAGTGTAAGTGCTACTGACAACGCACTTAAGCACTCGAAAATAATCCCATTCAGTCTGGTCGACTGAATAGCACTTTGGCCAACTGGCTTTTAACTGACAGAAACACATTTACAGGCCCAGTTTTGAAATGTTTCGTTGCCATTGTTCCTAATACGAGTAAGTTCGAGATTTGTGTGTTTTTCATGCGTTTTATCAGCCGTTGTTGCCGTGTATTTGCCCATCTATTTTACGACTGCGCCTGACTCGAACTGCGATCTTAATTCAAATCCTGGCAACTGTTGCAACTGTTGCAACTGTTTTGCCCAAAATACCAAAGCCAAGTCTGCTGCAGACAATAGAAAATTAAAATTATAAGATTTGCAATCTTTACTTAGGATTTTGAATTTAATTTAACTGAGCTGAGAATGCACATCAACCATTACCAATACCAATTTCACACAGTTATACTCAGTTTCCTAGTTGAATTTATGCTTTACTTTCAGCAAAATCATAATCAAATAACAATAAAAGTTACTTGTCAAGCAAAAAGACATATTGTAAACAATTATACTTTGATAACGATTACGCATTAAGTCGAGCATTCGGACATAAATAAAATATATGACTGTAAAATGTAAAATGCTTTTTATAAATGCCAGATAGTCTGGCAACACTCACTTCTGCTCAACTGCATATACATATGTATATATATATGTATGTATATATGCATATGAATGCATATATCTTTATATTTGTGTATGCTTTAAGCCCCATTCAGTATTGCAGCTGAGCTAATTGCACCCACTCCACTCCACACGCCACTCAACTATAACTGCAACTGCAACTGCAAATTGCAATTGCAATTCCGACTGAAAGATAGAAATGGCATACGCATCTGGGCACACTTACCGGCACTGAGGTGACTGCTGGTCGAGTTGACCTGGGTCAAGTGACCTGCACCAATCAAATTTGAGTTATTCGCATGGATCATGGCTGCTGTGGATATGGAGATGACGCCGCTGCCGCTGCCGCTGCCGCTGTTGTTGCTGTTGTTGCTGTTGTTGCTGTTGCTGTTGCTGCCATTCACTAATTGCGACTGCGGCATGCCAATCACTTGAGCGACTTGTGATTGTGCCTGTGCCTGTGCCTGTGCCTGTGCCTGCGCCTGTGTTTGGGCCTGTGTCTGTGTCTGTGCTTGGGTTTGGCTTTGGGTTTGGGCTTGTGGGCCCAACAATGTGTCGCCCTTGGCGACCAGTCGCTGCTGGTTGTCAATGGTCATGGGTGGCGTGAGTGTCTGATTGCTCCCATTCGAGCTGGCTGGCGAGCTGCTGTTATCAGAGGCGGATGCGGATGCGGAGGCGGAGGCGGAGACGGAAGGTGTCAAATCCCTTTTGCTTGCCAGCAAATTTGGCTGCTTTGCTGTGGGTGCCGTCGTGCAGGAGAAGGAGTTGGACGATGAGGCAACTATCTGTTGGCCACCGTCGAGCGATAGCACCGGCTTCACGGGCTTGTTGTTGTTCACTGTCTTCTCTTTGAGCGCCCCCACATTCGAGTCCAGCGACTTGACAATTTTCTGCAAAGTTAGGCAACCGTTTAGTGAATTGGATGCACTTCAATTCGGTCAAGTTATATAAATGCTTAAAAAGAAACAAAGGGTGAACGAGAGCGAGGGGAGAGCTGATGGTCTTCTTCTGCAGGTCAATTAGTCAATGAAAATGTGTGTGTAACTTGCAAAATGGAAAGTATGCCGAAAAATGCTTGTGAAGAGCAGACAGAGAGAGATAGATAGTGGGAGAGAGAGAGAGGGTGAGAGAGTGAGAGGGCGAGAGAGCGAGAGAGAAGTAAGCTAAAGTATTTATAAGCATGTGAAAAGTGGAACAGCGCTGAATGGCGAGTGGCATGCAAATTGTATGTTAAAACCCGTCCATAACCGCACGACCATCGCCCCACCCCTGCCGCATTGTGTCCCCTAACCCCCAGCGGCGCTAACAAGCAAATGAATGAGGTCCAATTAGGTTAAACATCAAGTGAATGAGGGGTTTTCGTTTGATTTTTTTTATTTTTTCTTAATATTTTTTTTATTTTTATTTTATTTTTTTTTGTTTGTTTGTTGTGCTGGGGGCATGCAGGGTTTGGCACTCTTTAGGGGATGGGTGGTTCTGGTTCTGGTTCTGGTTGTTGGTGTTGTACTTGGTGTACTTACGGATTCGCTGAGCTTGTGCAGAGAGGCATTTATGCGATCCGGATTGCGTGGCGGCGGCTCTGGTGGCTCGGATGCGGCCATGGTTGGTCCGGCAGCAAGACAGTTTATTTGCATACCTCCCACAATCCCTGTCCCGGTGCCTCTCCCAGTGCCTGGGCCTGTGCCTGTCCCTTTGCTGCCTATACAGTTGCCCAGTTATATATATATAAATATATATATATATTCTATGTATATGGTATATATAGAATATATACGAATGCAAAACTACCGAACGAGTTGTATTTCAACTGCCACAATTTGCAATATACGCAGCCCGCTCTAACATTTTGGCTACCTTACAGAGATGGAGACCCGATGTAAAATGTACGTACACAGAGAGACACGCCCGATAAGCCGCAAAAGATGCTTGCCACCGATTCTGCCGTGTTGTCCTGCCCCAGTTCGTTGCTGCGTTGCCACGTCCTCGACTCTCGCTTAATCCTTTAATTGCTCAACGATTCGTTTGCTGATGATTTCGCATGCATCTGTAAATAAATAAATAAGCTTTATTGAACTGATGTCTTCCACTAAGATGTGTATGCAGATAAAGACACCATGCGTTTCATTTATATCACTTATATCGTTTCGAAATAAGACAAGACGCCTTCACCCAAGACATTCTTGAAGCGTCATTCAATGAACACTGAATGTGACAAGACTTTTTTAAATTCTTTCCCATTGCGATTGCCCAACAAACGAGAAAAAGCAAAAAGACATAGAAAGACAAAAATACATGTCTAAGTGTCAATGTCGATGTCGATAGCTCGACAGTTGTCTGTGGGATTCAAAATTTATATTCCCTCAGATTTCTTACTTTTTCTTCATCTTTCTTTGCATTTTTAGGGACATTATCCTTAACGGAGCAGCATTCAAAATTCAATATGTTTTAAAAGTTACGTATTTATTAAATAAAATGGAGAAAAAAAATTGAAAAAATTAAATTACAAATGTTTTTATACATATTATCACCAAAGATTTTTCCCAATATTTGTACTTAGTATTGTATTTGTATCTTTCTTCCACACACCAAGCAAAACTAGAAGACAAAACATTTATTTATTTATTTATTTTTTCCTGTTGCTCCGCTTGGTGTGTTTTAAAATTAGATAATTTGAAAAATATTAGGAGACAAGGACGCCTTATCCAATGCGGTATGCTTTCCGCCCTAAAATACAAATGAAGAAAATTCTGCAAAATGCATATAAATATATTTTCATATTATGATTTCGATTTATTTTATTGTGAACAAACGGATTTACTTGGAACTCCATCGAATGTCATTTAGCCTCTGCAGTATTTGGTATTCCCATGTTCATTAGTTTTGTTTATTGCAATTTCTTTTGGTCTATATTGACTAGTTATTACTGCAATATTTCAACAATATGACACGTATTTTACGGCTGGCCGTAAAAGCTGGAAACACGGCTCTTGTAGAAGGGATGTTTTTTGGTTTGTGTGGGTTTCTATGTTTAGAAATGTGGGATATTGACCATAACTTACATTTTGAGGTAACACTACACACGGTTCGTGACAGGAAACTGTTTACCCACCTGCACTGTTAACGGGAATCGTAAAACTCAAATGCTTATAATGAAAATGGTGTTTCTTAAAAGTGTTGAATTATTGCTATATTTAACAGCATATATTTCCGATTATTAACTTCAACTTTATGTTTTAAAAGCCGTATATGATATTTCGTTGGTTAACAAATTTAAGATCTATTTGGACTCCACTGACAATATATTCAAAGATCTAACACTCTATTAAACAGACATGATATTGATCAAAAGGATATATTTATCAATAACAACTTTACTGGCAGTTAAGGAAAACAGTTTGAGAATTATAAGGTCATAGTATTTGCAATGATACCTGAGCAAACAGGGAAACACAAATTTAAATAGCAGGTATTTTTTATTTAAAAATATGTTTGCTTAAATACTTCGCCTCTGCTCACATCAAATATGATTTAATGTTACTGACTCTCATTTATGTAAGTGGATTGTGCTCTAATATTTACTCAGGGACTAACAACAGCTCTTTCATTCAGATTTTAATCCGATTTGGGCAAGGGTAGACAGAAAAAAACATACCATGAAAGGTGTTGTAGTTGTTGTTAAAACCTATTTGTTTTTCATATATTTTATTTTTTTAATTTTAATGCGGTAACATTGGTTGCACAATTGTACAAATACCGGGCTTAAAAGGCGCCCCAGTGGATGCTGGGCCAAAGGCAATCGTCTTATGCAAAGCCTTGACTCCATGCCACAAACTTATGAGTGGCATATGGGGATTGCATGACCACAGGATACACACGCAGCGCAGCTGCAGGTGATGTTAAGCTGCCGAATCCCTCGTTCTCGCATGCGACTAATACTAATATGTTTTCTGGTGCGTTCCAGCGCCCACTCCAAATGTGTATGTGTGGCAAAAAGTGGAGCGCAATGTAAGAGATGAGTTTGGTTTCGCTTTTGTGGTATTTGGCAAAAAAAAAAAAAATAAAAAAGGAGCTTTTATCATAATCATAACACACAACTTTTGTGTTAAATCCCTGCAGAGGTTACATATATAGTTGCAATTTCGTATGTACATAGTCTGTGCTAATGGTATATATATATATATATATATACTACTATACTACTCCAGTTACATGGTTACATTTGTACAGCATGTATTTATATATTAGTATCATATACATACACTCAAAAATACAATTTAAGTGAAATTTCGAAAATCGCTTTAAAACTTAAAAGTTGATCTGGTTTGTAAAAATTATTTTTAAGAAACGAAGAATAAAATGCATTTAATTCGAAATTATTTTTTATTTTCCTTACATATTTCTTCTATTATTAAAAAATACATTTTTAAGAATTAGCAATGAAGTTGCACATTTATCGAAAAAGTAGCTTCTACAATTTAAAAATATATATAATAAAATTACTCACTCAAGTGTTATATTAAAGTTTCGCTATACATGTGAGCTCGTACAATTCTAATGTTTAATAATAATATATATAAACAAAATAAGGCAATGCAAGAACTGTGTAAGTTCTGTGAATAGTTTTTTTTTTTAACATTTTAGAATCATAAATAGAAAGACTCTGGTGTTTAGAATTATTTGTTCGTAAAAATAAGCTGAGCTGCACTTGGCGTCAAAAGTACAATGAATTTTAAAGTTTTCGTAGAATTTTATTTTTTGTTAGTGTATGTGTTTTTATGTGAATTCACTGTTGATTTGTAAATGTGTTGTTTTATATGCAGCTAGTGGCATATACACGAAGTGTTTTTGAGCATCACTTGAACCTTTCATTGTACTACTCTTGTTATCATTGTTAAATAAGTATTGCATACGTAGACAGTAAGAAGCTTAAAATACAAACAAATTTATCGCTCTGTAAATCAAACAATGTATCTACGTGTTCAAATTTCATTTATGTATTGAGTTTAGTTGTGTTTGTTGATTTATTCAAGTTTTTGCTTTAATCATTTCATCACATAACCATAGAATCCGTTTTGCCTCACGTCGAGTATTTTATTAGTTTTGGAAATCGTTATCAAAATTAAATATCGAAATGCATTTTATGGATATTTTTAATGACCGTCAAGTAATTAGGAATTACTGTGTTCACTACCCGTGCATGTGCACGCAACCAATGCCAGTTAAAACGCCACCCAATGAATCCTTCTATGTGCACCTCCAAGATGCGCGCCAGGACCAGTTGCCATTGTGCGTGCGAGCCTACCGTCCACAATTCAACGCCAGAATCCTCGAGAACCGACATCGAAGAGCAGATGAGCGCAAGAAACAGATTATGAAACAACGCGTGGATCGACTGTGCAAAGGAGTAGACCAAGTGGCGACACTAAGCAACGATTGCCACGAGAGAGAGTATCTCAAAATGTTGATGATGCAGGCCCACATCTACCAGGATATGCAGGCCCATCAGCAGAGGTACAACAACAACATGAAGCAGCGACTGGCGAATCTGAGGGCGCACAATGAGCAGGTGCAGAAGCGCTTCGAGATGTTAAGATATGTGAGATATCTCAGCTACATAGCACGCCAGCATGATGAGAAACGGAAGCGTAAGGGTATATTTTAGTTAGAAATAGGCAAATAAGCAACACACAAGCAACACACAAGCAACACACAAGCAACGTGTGCTCTTGTCACCTCAATAAAAACTCGAGAATGACAAGAACAAATGGAGGCATTTGTATTCATGCCGTGTCAAGTTTTTAAAAGTTACCTTCACGCCAAAGTTAAAAGCACTTTGGCTTGAATCAAAAGTTTCAACATCAACTATAGTTTCAATGTGCTCTTTAAATTGGTATGGGTTAAATCGCCTGTCAACTTTTGACATACGCCCAATGAACATGCATACATAATGCCAGATGAAATTGTCTTGGTGAGCTCCACTTATGAGAATGTTGTGTAAAAAGAATCAACTACTAAATGCGGGTCAGGGCAATTTGGTTTAAATATACGAGTATGCGTCTTGTGGTGAAAGTTATATGCAATTTGTGTCAAAGGCTCAGCTAAGCCATAATTAGCTATGTGTCTAGGTTAGCTTTGCTTTGCACTCGCTGCTCAATGGGTGAATCAAGAGTCGATTATGCGGGGGGTTGGATGGACTTGCAGCTCCCTGGAGAGGAACAAGTAGACACATGCAAACATGCAGCACATCGCCAACCAGCAAACTTAAGGGGTGGCCACGTCAAAGAGAGCTCCAACAGTGCTCGCAAATCATGTGCACTCAAGTGAAATTGCATATGTGCATGCCCAACAAATCTGAGCACATAGCTTACTTTGAGCTCAGAGACTCAGGAAGCCGGCAAATTGTCTGTGTTATAAACTTCTTTGAGAGTTTTTCTAACCCGCTGCCAAGTTCGAGTTAAATACTTGACCTGTTTTTGAAAATACACACATTTGAATATAATTCAATTAAACACTAGACTCTTAAGCTTCAGACACGAGTAGCAAACAGTTTGAACTCATGTCGAAACAGCCAAACGATTTAATAACCACAAATAAATAGTTATATGTTTGTTTATTGATTTATGACCTCCAGTCATGATGCTAAATATCGCTGAGTAAACAAACTAAGAAATACATGATGAGAAGAAATACAAATGGTTTTTAGAAACAATTTAAAATTAATAATAATTTTTTTTTAAATTAAAATAGCACTGAAAATTCGACATTCTTTTCATTTTAGAAAATTCAACCCTGGAATTAGGAAATTATTTACCCAGGGTCGTTTAGAAATATGCATTCTGCCTAACAAAATGAGCTGAGCTTGCCACCAGAAGATTTTCTGAATTTCAAGGAAATTTCCTTCTGAGTTGGTAGCCCTGTGTAAAGATGACATACTTATGAAAATTATGCGAAATTCTCGCTTTTTCAGTGTGCGCAAGTGTCAGCTTTCACAGCTCATACAATAGAGCATCTGTACACACACACACACACATGTGCCTATATATA